CTCTTCACAGGGCTAAGGGTGGGCAAATGAGGGCATTGACGCAACTCAAATAAGAATTGTCACCTCCCGGATCTCAAAAGTCTCCTGATCTCATGCTGGGAGATGAGGATGCAAATCCTCTAGTTTTGCTCAGCTAAGTGCCAGCAAATCTCCATCTTATCCTATAGAGCCAAAACTTGCCACAGTTTGCAAAGCTTCATTGAGTTGTCATTGCAGCTCATAAAAAATCTCCAGTGGGGATTTGTGTAGTTGTTTCGGTAGCTCCTTCCTCCTCCTCTGCTTTTGCAGATTTGAGCCTATTTCTCTTGATGGTGTCTCTGGGCTTTCCACTCCGCCAAATGCATCTGAGGAAGTAGCTCATGCTACCAACTTCTGTCTTTCAGTTAGTCTCAAAGGTGCTGCAAGAGTATGCTGTTTTTGTTTTGTTATCTCCTCTGTTTGTTATTTCTTTGTTTGGTTGTTGGTTTTATTTAATTTTATGTTTTAATCTAAGATGTTTTAATTAGTGCTTAGTTTAATACTCTTTTAAAGGGGGGTATTGGTCCTTTTGGATTTATATTTTATGTATTCTTAATTGTTGTTAGTCGCCCCAATTGTGCTCAGAGGGGCAGGGTATAAATAAATTATTATTATTATCATCATCATCATCATCATCATCATCCCTTTGCATTTAAATAATTAAACCTGTGGAAGTTGGCTGCCATGACTCCTGGTAAATCTGTGCCTCCTGATCATAAAGTTTTTATGCCAGTTGCTTTTGCCATATCTTGTGGTGGTGAGTTCCCCAGTTTGCTCTCTGAATGAAGAAATACCGTGTCGGCTGCCTTTACTGAGTGACTGGGCCTATTTTTATTATGACTGATGGAGCCAGTATTTCTTTCCTAGAACAATCCAGGTGCTGATACAAAACACAGCATTATTAAAAAAGAAAAATTCCTCCTAGGTTGTAGAACATAGCTTTTCTTTTGAAGAACAGGATGATACAGGCTTCTGGTTTGAGTCTGGTCACAAAACCAGTCTGCAGAACATTTAAATTCTGCTCTCTTGGGTGTGAGCAGGCAACATTTCTCAGTTTGGCTGCTCACACCCTGGAAACAAGAGTGCAACTCTAGTTTCTCTGGTTTATTTTTAAGATTGCATGTATTTGGGGGGGTTGGGTTGAATCTAAACTTAAAAGTTGAATCCCATTGGCAGTCTAAAGCAGAGTTGACCCATTGAAACAAGTGAAGTTCACAAACTTCCCACTCTCTCCCTTGTCACAACTGGGGTTGCCTCAGTCATGACAGTCCCGAGATCGAGGGACGACTAAATACGACATCACAGGGGCGGGCCCTAGTGAAGTCATTAGGCATGAGACATTAACCACAGCTGCATAAAATTTGCCATTCAAATAAAAAACTGGCTGAAATCCAACATCATAGTCTACATTTTGTAACTTTATAGTAGTGTGATGTAGTGGTTTGAGAGATGATGACTCTGGAGACCAGTTCGATTCCTCTCTCAGCTATGGAAACTCATTGTGTGACCTTGGGCAAGTCACATGCTCTCAGCCTCAGGCAATGGCAATGGCAAACCTCTGAAGAAACTTGCCAAGAAAACCCCATGATATGGTTGCCGTAAGTTGGAAATAACTTGAAGGTGCACAACAACAGCATGGACATCATAGCATTTTCTTCGGCAGGGAATCCTCAGAGTTGGCTTTGCCAAATCTTTCCTCTTCCACATCGGGCTTTACAGGTTAAAACCAACCATAATTTGGACTGGAGAGTCCTTTGGACAGAGCATTTGTGGGAAACTGGGAAACTTCCAGACGCTGATGGACTCACCTCACCCATTTGAGTGATAGGAATTTGCAACTCTGTGGAGCAAGTGAAGTTTCTGAGCAGTTTGCAAAGCCAGCCCCATGAAGAGCACCTTACGGTAATCCAAATAAGATTTCCCCAAGAGAGGTACCTCCTGACCAGGTCCAACTTCTCCAGGAATGAGCGGAGTTGGTGCACTAGTTTGAAGCAAGTGTTGTGGGACTTTGGAGGCTGAAAGACTTACATGCCTGAAGAAACAACTCCTTGCTGTGAACTTGCCATCCTCCTTTTCTTCTTCTTCTCCTTTTGCAAAACAACAACATCCACCAGATTTACGAAGTGTTTTGTTTTGTTTTGCTTCACGGCCTGCGGTGTCCTCCTTGTAAAGGACGCAGGAGTAAACCTTTCTTTCTGTTGTGGCAACTGCAGTTTAGAAAACAATCTCGGGACAAAAGGTTCAGCCGGCAGAAGGGGTTTCCGCCCCTCTCGTTCTATTTATTTTTTAAGGAGCAGGTGGTAGAGAAAGAAAACTTTTTTCCCCCCATTTAAAGAAGAAAAAGCAGGGAACAGCATGAAGGAAACCATGTTGTTGTATGTGGGGTGTGTGTGTGTGTGTGTGTTTTTCAGCACCCAAGGAATTGTCCTTCCTTGCACAGAACAATTCTCCTTATCTCTTTCCGTTGTCGTGAGTCACCGTCTGGCTTGGTGGAAAATCCGGGATCGTGCTGAATGGAGATACCTTACTTGCCCTCTGTTATTGTTTTAAAAGAAAAAAACAGGATCCCAAATCTACCCACCTGCAGTTGCTAGTTGGTTACTTGTTGTTGTGTTGTTTAAATGGGATTCTAAAGCCATTTGCTGCCCTGTGTGCAAGGTATTTGCAGCCTTCAAGTTGGTTCCGAGGGTTTTCTTGGGAAGATTTTAGGGGAACTTTGCCATGGCCTTCCTCTGAGGCTGAAAGAGTGGGACTTGCTTAAGAAGCCCAATGGGTTTCCATGGCTGTGTGTGGGAATTTGAAACCAGTCCCCTCTCTCAGCCTC